TAAGTACAGTATGCACAAATTAAAGTAGATGAGAATTGGAATTCACTTCTACTTTAATTATTTTGCCATTTTGTTTCGATTATAATGTTATTCTGTTGTAAACAATTCTGGGATTGGAAGTATTTGCAGTGTTCAAGCGTGGTCACAAGGGCTTTGAAACATTTTCTGCACATGCCAGGAACTGTTACCTTCCAATTAGAGGAAACAAACGCTTAAGTTTTACTGGAGACTAGAGAGAGGAGGTGATAATAGGCACACTGCAAAAGAATTTGCACTTTTAAAATGAGCCTAATCATGAACCTATTTGTAATTTTGCTTTTGTTTGTTTTTATTTTGCTTTTTTCATTCAGTGATATGGTTTCCATGAGATCCAATTTTATTAGACTGTGGTAAATGTTCCCAGGCCCATTAAGCCCATCGTATGAGTGACATAATACTCAGTCAGTTAATACCCTGATGTGAGAAAACCATTTGAGATCAGTCCAAGCTCTAAGAAAGAGTGATTGGCAGCTGGGGTAACATCACTGGTACCTTTCTCTGAATCTTCTGTCAGTGACACAACTTGAGTAGTAGGGAGAGGATTAAAGCCAGACAGACGGTCACGTGAAGAGGGCACATGGAAGGTGAGGCTGTTTGTCTGGTTTAAAGGACTGTATTAAAGCATGAAAGAATACAGGGGGCTGTAGAATAACTGAGCGCAGACATACAAGGTGTTAAAGCGCGTGTGTGTGCGTGCGTGTATGTAATTTAAGGAGGTTACAAAGCATCCAAATAAGAGAAAGTAGGAATAGACTTAAAATAAGCTTCTGACATGTCAAGGTGGCCTAGATGTGAAGCTCAGAGTGATTACAAATGAAATCATTAACTTCCCACTCAGCGCAGGAAGAAAGTCATTAAGACACACATGCTTCGCTTAGCTCACGCGTGCGTGTTAGACAGTTAGAGAGATGAAAGAATGAAAGCAAGAATGTGACGGGTGTAGAGTGTCGCTTTGGTGATGTTAGCGATTTTCTTGATCTGCTGTCACATTAAAGAAAGTTATAGCTGTTAATTATGAAGAAATGCATTAAGTGTGCTTGGTGTTTGCAGCAGACACAATATTATCATGACATCAAATCGCGAAACGCCACAATCAGTAGTAAGTGTGAGCTTCATATTTGAGGTTTTTGAGCTGTAATATGGTTGTTGTTAAACTTGATGTGCACCACGTGGTGTATTTGTGGCTAGACCCACTCTGTTGGCCATGAAGTGTTATGTATTGCTCATAGTTATGTACACAGACGGTTTCCTGAGGCTGAGAAACTCCTTTTCGTGTATGTATTGACCTGTCAATCAAATTAGAGTTTGAGTTTATATACCAGGTTGGCTTTTTAGGTTCCCAGCAGATAAATGTTTAATTCTTGCCCGATAAATGTGTAAGTCTTGACAGCAACAGTTATTTTTTAAATAGATTAGGATATTTCTTCTGACTGGCTGCCTCTTGCAAATAGGGCTGCTGTGTTCTCACAGACAGAGCCGTGTGCCTGAGAAGACTGCATTAACGATATCATACACATCGTACGCCAAACACTGTCAGAAACTTGGTGTTTAAAGCGGTCTGAAGGCTGAGCTTCTGGCTTATAGGGATTACTTGTAAATTTGCTGACCTCATTATTTGAATCTTTCTCCATTTTTAACATGAGCATTCGCCATATATGTATAGCTTTACTGTAAACACATGTAATAGCGTGCAGCTGTTTCTGCTGTTATTCGTCCCGTCTGTCCCCTCCACACCCGGTGTGCTGGGATATAGGCAATTAAGCATCCTTTCCCATCAATCTTTCCCCCAGAGAGCAGACACCGGGGGAGAAAGTGTAGAGGTTAAGCTTTGAGGGATGGCGGAGGATTGTGGGTGAGCGTAAAAGAAAGGGCGTATATAGAGAGGGAAGTCATATGACTCCCTATGTCATGGAGATGCAAACCGATGAAGAATGAGAAAGGTCATTTTCACACACAATAGCCCAAGCGAGCGAGCGTGCACACACACATGCACAGAGGGTTTGTGTCATACTAATGATGGCTATTACTCACTTGAGTTAAAGGGCAGAGGAGAACTGTACAACACTGTACCATTTACCGAGATCTGCCCTCCACATGTGAGCACTTAAAACATGCCCCAAGCAAAAAACTGTAAACAGAAATGCAGATTGTGCATTGAATGGCGAAAACAACTTCTCCTCAGCAGCTGAACAACATCCTTTGCTATTCTGCTGAAAGCCATTTCATTTAGCCAGACTTATTTACAGTGTGGCTGACAGTACACAGCAGGAATAATTTCTAATAGAGATTAAAAGTAAATCTGCACCTGTCAGAGCAGCTTCCCTTCTGTCTGTCTGACTGCTGCTGTGTACTCTGGATTGTGTGTGTGTGTGTGTGTGTTCGTGCGGGGGCTGTGATCCTTCACTGTGTACATATGAATGCGCTGTCACTTGGAAGTTGCTTTCTCTGTGTGCTGATTCGATTTATATATATAAGAATGTGAGTTCTCCTATCATGCATGTAGCTCTGCTGGTATGTGGAGTCTGGTCCAGTGCTGTGTTTGCAGATAGTTTGAGTGACAGGAGGCTGGGGAACTGGGGAGCGATGTGTCATGCAGCTGCTGTGTAATAAATACTGGATATACAGCTGCTACATTTCAGAAGCATTTATCTCGCCAAGCATTACAATATAAGAAGTGATTTGCATCACAAAGATGGCATTCGATGTGTTGACATTTTCTCTGTGCTATGAAGTCTGTAGTTATAATTAGAAGCTCGCTAGCAATGTCTTCTGTAACTTGCTGAAGCAGTTTGCACCAACCTTTTCAGCCTTTAATCATCACAGTGTTTTACTCAACCCCCCATTTATCTAAAGTATTATATATTACAAAGTTTAACCTGGTCTACCATTGTTGTCATCAGGGAGTAAGCCCTCAAATTAGATAATTACTTGACTTGCTTGCTTTCTGCCAGTTTTAAGAAATCATCATCAGGGTTTGAGCATGAAGCATACTATAAATAATCTGACCTGCCATTATTCTGGGTTTGAAGCAAGGGGCAACTTCTGGAGCTTAAAAAAGAGGCCAAGGCAGATGTGGCGAAAACTGTAGTGCCTCTGGGACTAGCTGATGAGTTAGCATTAGATCCTTACATCCACGTAAGGTAATTTCTGGCTTGGAAAAAAAATGGCAGAGACTAAAAACACTAATGTTGAAGCTTCAAAACGTGCAGTCCAAAACCACATTTTACACTGTCTTTCATTTCCAGCAGGCAATTAAATGTGGCAGAGAACAAGAATGTGATAATGGTCTCTATTGCGTCAGGGAATGGCGTTTTAGAAACCAAAACAAAGTAGAAAATCAGCTTGATTTAAACAGAAAAATATCCCGGCACGTTCCCAAGATTAAACCACCACCCAAAATAGGAAAATCAAAACTGGAAAAGTATAAGCCTCAGAGTGTTTGCGAGAAGAATGAAAGACAAAAAAAGGGTTTAAAAATGAGCAAATCTCTCACACTTTTATTTCTTTTACCAGAAAGCAGCAAAGACCAGCAGCTATGGAGCAAAGTCAGCTAGGGTTTATTAATGACTGGGAAGGCAGAACAGAGATACAGTATCCAACAAGGCCAGAGCTTGGATAATGCTACACAGATGGGTCAGGATGGACTTAGCATATTAACAGGTTATGTAACACCAAGTGCTGTGATTGTCTTACTGTGCCCCGATTGGCTCTGCTCATGTGGGTGTTATAGCTTTGCTACCGTATCACTCGGAACGGTTTTTCCTACAAGGCAGGGTGTGTTTGTATTTTCTTTAAATATGCAAGACAGTGTGGGAGATGGATGTTTGTGAGTGCTGTGATGTTGCTTTTTTTGTTTTGTTTTTTAAATAACTGCATCAGGGGACTAAGCTAACCCCAGGAAAGGGGTCCCATGTGGGGGCTGCAGCATCCCCCTTTTTTGCAGTGCCTCTCGACTGTGGGTGGTTGTTGCCAAAGATAAGACACCTATAATGCAAAATAAATACTGCTGCAGACTACAGTCTCCATCTCCCTAGCACACAGACACTTACCATATCCACAAGGATGTACACACACTCAAATTCACTAAGGTGCCAACCCTATTTGTAACTAAAGTCATGGATGGTTAAGGCACACTGTTGTCGTGTTGAACTTTCTGTTGTCATAATCTTGCAGAAACAGGGCTGAATTTCTGAGTTCATACATAAAATGGATGTAAACTTGTTTATGCCACTGGCCACAGAAAATGTGGGATTTATGAAAGCAAACTGAAAATGTGCACACCTCTCAACACAAGCCCAAGGATAGCAATGAGCTACCCGTTACACCTGTCTCATCTGATACTCTTGTTTACTCCTGTATATTGCTATCTAAAAGCTTTACGTTAAATCAATCTTAAGCTTAACATTATGTACGTCTATACTACTACGAGTTTTTGCAATGTTTTAGTCTGTAATTATTGGTGAAGCTGTATTAGATTGTATTGTGAAACAATACAACATTAATGTTGGATATGAATTTGTATGATTTTCTCCAAGTGTGACATCCTGCCTAGTTGACTCTTTCTGTTTATCTGCTTGTGCGCTTGAATGTGTGCATGTGCCCATTAACCATATCTGTAAATCCTCACTTGGAGCAGTATATAACCAAACCCCCAAGCACTGTCAGTTCCCTGACATGCCCTAGAGAGGCATTCTCGCATACTTTAACTTAAGGTTCATTGACAGTGTGAGGCTGTTGGCATGCAGCACAAAGCATTTAAAAAATAAGTGGAATTTTGTGTTGGAATAAGTGACTTTTTTTGCAAAAGAGTACTGTATTGACGCATCTTGTATTGATGGCTCTGACTTATTTTGAAACGGTGACATTAAGGTCTACATGGAGCAGCACATTGCAAAGTAATAAAACACGAGAATACAAATATTTCACATTATAACAGCTGTTTAAATTTTTGTTGTTTTCAGGTCACTTTCTAGATTTGCTGAACCGCTCTGAATTGAACCTACAAGAGACTTTCACTTCAACTTGGGGCTCTCTATACAACAAGAATTCGGATGTTTTCTCCGAGTTATACACAGAATTGAAGAAGTACTACCGAGGAGCCAACATCAACCTGGAAGAAACACTTAATGACTTCTGGATCAGGCTCCTGGAGAAGCTCTTTTTCCAGGCAAACGGGCAATATGTCATAGGTACATTTAGTTCACTTGTTGGACGCACATAACAGCTAAAAGCTTTTCGCTGGCTCTCTGCTACAGTAAAAAAACAAAAAAATAACTTATTTTATTTGGCTTGGGATTATTTCATGTTCTGTTAACCATATTGGAAACTGGTCGATGCATGGTTTATTACAGTAATACCATGAACCTGGCACACTGCAGCAGCTAGCAGCTCTAGTTTCTTGAGAATTTGCTTTCAACTGTGATTACCCACATCTTTTGTTCACCTGATGACCTGCTTGCTGTCAGAGCTGTTGAATCAAGAAATCACTTAAGTACAACGTGTCTAACAAAGTGAAGCAGGCTAAAATATATCAAAAGCAACACATGTAACACATCAGGTCTAAAGAAACTGCTAAAAGGTCCGATGCATGTGTAAGATTTTTTTTGAGTAAAAAATAAAATAAATGATTTATTATTTACTTTTAAATAATTTTAGCTTCAGCCTTCAGGGGTTAACCCAAAACCTTGAGAAGTGGTGAGATTTTCTACTTGAAGATTTCGTTTGATGTGTTTGCTGATTACAGGTGAGGACTACCTGGAGTGTGTGTCTAAGCAGATAGACACACTGCGGCCTTTTGGAGACACACCCCGTCAAATGAAGATGAAAGTCACGCGCACGCTTGTGGCTGCACGTTCGTTTGTTCAGGGCCTGGTGACTGCGGGCGAAGCCGTACGCAGAGTATCCCAGGTAAAACTATTTCTTCTCATCTTGCATGATCCTTTAGACTGAGCAGCAGCTCTGTTTTCCTGCCCTCACCTCTGCAGTTCCAGGCCCAATGCATAATTTAAACAGCGAAATCTAGTTTTGTACATAATAACGGGCATCTTAATAAAAATGTACCGACAGCTCTGGTGGAGCTCAGGATTCATCCAGAGAAGCTGAGCTGTCAGCTGTGTGGAAGAACTCGGGGCATCTTCTTTGTCAGAGGCCTGGCTGATATAATTAATGAAGTTAAAACCGCTGCCCCTTGTGTGGAAACATGAACATCACGACAGATTTTCAGAAGCATTTATTATTTCTGTGCGGTACAGCGCTGTAGGTATTGATGTAAGGCAAAAAAAATGCTGCTGGCAACAAACAAACATCAGCAGCTCTACTAATGTTTCTGCAAAATAACGAGTAGCATTCAGTGACACCCGAACAACATTACTGCGAGATCCAGAAATTAATCGAGCATATTTCAGATCTGCCTGAGTCACATTCACTGTATAATGACAGAGTTATGTAATTGGAAAAAAAAAAAGGGGGGGGGGGAGTGTGTGTGTGAGTAAATAAACAGAAGAAAAATTAAAAATACTTTTCCACAGGGTTCAGTTTTGATTCTTTTCCCCTCAGATCAGCGTTAGCAGAAGCAAGACACTCTGCGAAGCATGGCCTCGGGCTCAGCTTGCCCCTGCAACTACAGTTAATTCCCTCTCCACGCTGAAAAATGTCTCCCTAGGCTGTGAGGCAGGTTAATTTCCCCCAAGAGAAATGATCCCCTCTTTGTAAAAGGCAAGAGTAAGGTTAAGATGAGAGCGAGACTGAGAAATAATTTCAGGGAGGTGGCCGGTATTGATGCCCCTGTGAAAAATATCTGCTGTCAGACAGTGGGCAAGCAGAGTGGAGAGAGATGAGGTTCAGTGAAAAATGCTTTGAGGAAACAGATCCTGTAAAAAAGTATGAATATTACAGGTATTTCTTTGATAACTTTGTGCTGTGAATGACCACGAAAGGGTAAAGGGCGAGAACTACTGTGCGACACATCTGGATGCAAAGGAAACAAATATATGTGATGCTCTTTCCTGTCACTTTAATGTATGTGATTAGTTTGTGGGCGTTGTCAGACGTACAAAGACCCGGGGTTCTTGAACTAACGTACCACATGCAGAAAAACAATTTGACCTTTTTGCAAGTAGGTGGAGGAGTAAACAACAGAATACATGTGGGGAATGTTGCAATTCCTATTCATGATCCATCAATGCTATTTTAATGAGCATCTTTTTTAGACAAACATATTCATATACAGACTGAACCCCAGCGTTGAAAGGTACTAAAAATGTGCACACACATTTCTCCCGGAGTTACTACGCCTTTTTTAAGGCATGATCCTCGACCACTTTGCCAGTGCTGAAGAGTAGTGAGTGATGAGTTCACTGAACAAGGGTGGCTCGGGGAAAACGAGTAAATAATTAGCGCAGCTTTTAACAAAATTACAGAATGTCATTTCAGCGCTAATGCCAGGGTATTGGAGCTGCTGCGTTCTGAATGAGGTCATGGAGTGCCTTCTGTCCTATTTAGAGTAGAGCACTCTGTAGTGCAAGAATAGTCACGATGGGCACACTTGGTCAGTCTGGTTTTAAAAGAGAATTTTTGGCGTGTTTCAAAAAACACGCAAGGCCAAGTTTCTTCCGAGTCAAGGCCTCTCTGATAGGATTTGACTGGACGAGGTGCAGACATCAGCCAACTGTTCAACTTCACATGTATAATTTGTGTGTTTGTCTGTGTCGCTGTCCTCCCAGCACACAGTCACAGTTGTGCTGTACTTATGCAGATTGGTACAGCACTGCGCTTGATAGGAATAAATTAAAACAGTGAGAAAAATGTGTGTGTGTGTGTGTGTGGGGGGGGGGCAGATATAGGAAAGCTTTGACAAAATCCAGCTTCCTCTCGTATCCTTATCTTCCTACTCTCTCATTTTTGTGTGTGTGTGTGTGTGTTGTCTTTAAATTCTGCAGCTCTTCTCCTTGTAAATTGTGAATAGTAGTTTCTGTTTGTTTCCCACAACCACACCCTGCTGTGTTCTCTGTCTGTGGCTGTATCTTGTATATAAATTAATTTCAGCTTTCCCCTCCATTCCAATGAAATTCTATTAGCAGTAGATTAATGCATGTGCATTAATGAGGCAGCCTCTCTTTTTAGAAAAAAAAAATGTGCACTGAAACTTGCAAAGAGGTCAGTAACTGAAGGTGTTTACTGTAGGCTGCTGGAGGAGGTATTAAGGCAGGATAAGACAAAATTCCCTCTGTGTATGTGTGTGCCTCCAATCCTTGTAGTCCTCCACAGAAGTTTGTTTTCATAAGAAAGATGAAATGAATTCCCAATAAGCCTTAGCTGTGGTGGCAGGTGATGAAAGAGTATCCTTAAAGGATGCTGTGAATAGAGTAAAGCAGAGAGAGAGAGAGAGAGTGATAATTTTAGAGATGTTTTTATAAGACAGAAAAAAAGGTGTCAGCAGGAAGGTCTGTCTGGCTTTCTGGTTGAGTATTAATTCCTCCCTTGCTTCGCTTTGGGCTGCACCAGTTGTTACGTGTGTCCTTAACTTTTTTTTGCAGACTGTTTTATTCCCTCGGGTAAGGGGAGAGTAGGAAGTAGGCCACGCGAATTGCTCACTCTGGAGGCAAGGAGTCGGGATCAGCTTGTTCTGTAACACAAGGGAGGAGAGGCTGTCCATATATCCTTACTAATTACAGAGGAGAGACAAACAGAAAGAAAGACGGTGTGTCTTCATGGACATTTGCTGTGGGCAATGTACAAACAGGTATGGGAAGCATGCAGTGAGGGTGAAGCGAGGACGACTTAGAGTATGAAAGAGACATTGAGGATCCGCATGTGCGAAAAATATCAAGGAATATATGTCGAACTTTATCAAACCGAGATGGGTTTCTGCACTCCAGTAGGAATAAGATATGGGTTGTATTACTACTTATAATTTGAAAGCTTTTACTTTCCTAAAGCCAGGTGTGCCACAGTTTCCAGGCTGCCAGCCTTGGGAAGTTGTCAACATTAACCTCTAACAAGCAACACAGCAGAACTGCACATTTCACGTCTCTTGTGCAGTGCCAGTGATTCCCAGTATTGACACTGCATGGATGATGTAGGAAACACTCGATTAATCTCTTTTCAGGAGGATTTCATTAACATCTCCCAGTTTTTGTTTTTTTGTTGTTGTTTTTTAAATTCCCCTCAGTTAATCTAATAGCGTTTTAACATCTGTATCTCTCATTTTCAGTTATTCTCCCCAGTCCTCGCTGCACACTCCATTCTTCTCTTTCACCAAAAAAAGCAATTTTCTGACTCATCCCTGGTTAACAAGAACTAGAGTACGGATGGGAGGAAGGGAATAAAGGAGGGCAGGGACGAGGATCTGACTCATGTCTCAAATGACTTGAGATCAGGCCTGGGAACACGGTTATTCTTTTTCTGTGTCACTTCTTTGCTGTCCGTGTGTAACTGAGACCAATTACCAAATTCTATCGATCCCTTTTTACACACAAGTGTTAACTAATTTACAGTGCTTGTTTTATTTTTAATGTGGTTTAAGATTTTATGTAGAGTTGATAAAGTGTCAAAATAAAGTTTTGCAAGTCAAATCTTTGATTAAATTTCAATGATCTTTCTTGATATTATCATTAAAGTAGCTACTGACTACTTATAGTACTAAAATACACACCCATAAATGTTGCTCGGAAGCTGTTTTTAGGAAACAGTGCTATGGACTTCAGAAATCAGTGCTAGCATGAATAAGAACAGTTTCGTTTCCCCTGATATCAACAAGCATCTGTAGAAAAATATCTGAATTATTTTCACACATGAACCCTATTGTTGTCCTATTTTCACTGTATATTTGTTAAAAGCTGGTTTTAACTATGACTTTGCTGTTGGAACTGCAGTTTCCCAGAAAAGCATTAGGCTGGCCCAGATTAGAGAAGCTTTGTATGCGTAGCTGGACTCGTTCTGTTGCTCTCTCTCTCTCTCTCTCTCTTTCTCACACACAGACACACACCCAACACTTCCTTAGGTTTTGTATGCATAGCTGTACTCTCTTGTGAACAGAGCTTACTGGTATTAACCCAGTTTCACTTTTCACGCACGAAGGCCTTTTCCTGGGGGAACAGCCTTGTGGGATAGAGGGAAGAGTGCAAGAGACAGGAAGGATAGAGTGAGAGACTGAAAATACTTGTATGAATGTCAGGACCTTTTCATCGCATTTGAAACAAAAAGCTAATTCTTGCTAACTAGTTTCCAAGGAAACTGTGATGAACGAGATCCTGGTGCAAACTAAAAAAAAAGGTCATCATGGGAGGTGACCTCCTACTGCTGCCACTGTCATTGTGTAGCTAAAACAAATGTACATTTTCACATCTTATTAAAACAGATCATTTTCCATATTCATGTCTTCTGTACAAAAGCAGTTTAACAGTTTAAATAGTCAAACGTGCAAAGTTTTGTCTCTCATGTAAGCTTAACCAAACAGTATTTGACTTGATTTTTTTCTTTTATCAAAGTGGTGCATGTTTATTTATATCTCTGTCTTACCCAGGTGCCAATGAGCCAGGAGTGCATGCGAGCCATAATGAAGATGACTTACTGTCCCCACTGCCGTGGGATGCCGTCTGCTAGACCTTGTCTGAACTACTGCACCAACGTCATGAAGGGCTGTCTGGCCAACCAGGCTGACCTCGACACAGAGTGGAGGCACCTAGCAGGTGGGGCGCACATACACTCCCTCATATGAATCCAGTTTAACCATATGCCCAGCTCAAACGTTCAACCCACACCTGATTCTAATAAAGGGGAGTCACGCTATCAACACACTGAGGCCCTACATATGAAACACTTCGCACTTTCTTCACACTAACTGTGCTCATGGCTCTTTAGATACAATGATCCAGGTGGCTGACCGTTTAGATGACCCTGCTGGTGTGGAAAGTGTGATCCTCTCCCTTCCCAGTTACATATCAGAAGCTATGAATACCATGATGGAGAATATAGCCAGCATCAACAGCAAGGTCAGAACACACACTGGTACACGCATACAGGTCGAAACGATGTGATCAGCATTTACTGTGCACCTCAAAAAAGACATCAAACGATACTGTGAGCTGAGCCACAGTCTTAAAACCATCATCGACAACTGAAATGAACACTTAAGCTAACTTTCAGGTGGTCCTACTTGTTTCTAGTTTCTGCTAACAATGTAATTACTAATTTGGAAAACTTTTGGAAACATAGATGTGAATTGAAGCATTGTTTGCTTTTTTTATATGGGTGAAAGTCAGTGAAGAAACACTGGTAGCTGACGTTTGGCTTTTTAAAGATCCTTAGCACTTGGTAATGCCGTAAAAATAGTAGTTAGCAATCAAAAGAATCTGAAATCTCTTAAAAAAACACAAACTAATAGAAATTGGTTCCCTCCAAAAGAACATTTGGACTTGAGTTCACATGCTGGGTCACTATGTGACTTCATTGCCCTGCTTTGTATATGCAGTTAACACATTTCCTCCCACTACATTAATGCTGTTATCATGCTCCAGATATTTGATTTCAAATGAAGGCATGTGAGTCATGACAGAGCCTTTTTAATGGTGCTTGGGTAACAGTTTTATATGAGCCTTAAAAACAACTGGCAGCACTGAAAAACTGACTGATTAGTTTGGTAAAGGTGGGAAACGGCGTGGACGTTGAGAGGAAAGACAAAGCTTCCTCTGTGCTGGTTAGCTGTTTAAGAGGCTGGCTCCCTTGAGGTTAGCAGTGGACTGGCGGTCTGCCGCTGACCTGGTCCTGTATGTAATCACACACAGCTTCAGCCTCTGATCTTCATGTAATATGGCGCGCAGAGTTATAGTGTTGGATAGATTATTTCCTATCATACATAATCGACTGATGTCAAAAGCCATATGTTGTGTTACAAGCTTTCCTGACGAATTATGCCAAATGCAGATATTACACTGCGTAGCCTATATGGAAATATATGCCACTGCTCTGTAACTGAGTCAAAGCCAAACTGTTAAGCTGCTTACTCAAACCCTGAAACAAGGAGTTTATCAATTAATTTTTGATGTTGTGTGAGTCATAATAAAATTAATAGCAGCTCAAGATAGGATTTTCTTTTTAATAGTTACAGTGTGTGTGAAGGTTCAAAGTCTTGAGGCTCCTCTAAGCAGGCCAGACTGGATGACAGATTGACTGCAGTTTTTACTGTATTCCCTGAGTAGCATTTATAAAATCCAAAGCCCCTAGGGACGAGTAATACTTTCCGAGTTGTGAATCATTCTGCTAAAGTGATGCTGTCATTGACTCACGAGGTTATGCACATAAACAAAACAAGTTATTATTCTTGGTTTATTTTTACTATTTTTATTTTTTTTAATATTAGATATAGTAAATACATACCCCCCCCCCCCCCCCACACACACACACACACACACACACACACACAAAAAAGAATAGAAACCCTCTTTTTGTTAGGACTGTTTCAGCTGTTTATTAACGGCTATGCCATTTATCTTCTCATTCAACATTTCGATTTGCCTTTTCCTCCCCAGCTTTTCCAGACATGTGGCAAACCCAAGGAAGCAGGAACCACCAGCACAGATGATGAAATCATGAAGCGAGGGACGTTTACAGTGGAGGACAGGTTGGAAGCCAGCTCTGACAAAATCGAAAAATTGGTTAGTATGTACCCAACTGAATTGGCACCTTGTTATTGCTCTCTGATGGCCTAATCTGTCCCATTCATAGTGATGTTTTTTAAAGGAAGAGTCATTGGTCATCAAGGCCAATTGAACCACTTTTGCTGTTCAATTTCACCTACGCACAGATAACTATGAAGTGATTAGACGGGAATGAATGCTTGGAAGGATAAATGTGTCAGATGACTGAACACTGCAGTTGGTTATTGAGGGACCCAGAGTGTTTCTTATTGTTGGTGTGTGACAGCATACTGTGACTTGGGGGGGGGGAAGTATAAATGCTCATGAATGTGCTCTCAACAACTTTGCCTCAGGTGTCTGATGTAAGAATAATACTGGGGGACAATAGGCCATACTGGACTTCTCTCCCAAATCTCATCTGCAGTGACAGAGTGGCCACTGGATTAGGGTCCGAAGACAAGTGTTGGAATGGCAACAACCGTGCCAGGTAGGGAATATGAACCCATGAAGAAATTATTACTTCAACACAGAATTCCAATGTTGTGAAAAAGTTTTCCTTATTCTTTCCTGATTTCTTGTTCTTGTTTTCTTTTGCATATTTTTACACTTACATGTTTCAGATGATCAAACAAATTTTAATACTGAATAAAATTAAAAATGCTATCCAAAACTACCATTACCACATTCCCTGGAAAACTGAGTTCAATTTCACTAACCACTGTCAGACCTGCTGAATCAAGAAATTACTTATACAGAATCTGTCTGACAAAGTGAAGCAGGCTTAAAGGTCTAAACAATGATTCATCCAGGAGGTCACAGGAGAACAGCATCTAAAGACCTGCAGACCTCACTTGCCTCAGTTAAGGTCAGAGTTCATGATTCAGCAATAAAAAAAGAGCCTGGGCGGAAATGGCAGCCATGGGAGATTCCTAAGGAGAAAACCACTGTTTACCAAAAAGAACAGAAATTCTTGTCTCACATTTACCAAAAAAAGATCTTGATTTGCTGCTTCAGGACCTGGATGACATGCCATAACTGATGGAACCATGAATTCTGCTCTCTACCAGAAAGTCCTGATGGAGAATGTTTGGCCATCAGTTCATACCCTGAAGCTCAAAGAGAATCTGATTATGATGCTTTGGCATGACCTTAAACAGGCCATTCATTCTCAAAAACCCTCCAATGTGGCTCAATTGAGATCATTTTGCAAAGGAGAGGGGGCCAAAATTTCCCCAAAGCTTCTTTCCCTTTTTTGAACAAAATCATCAGTTAAAAACTGCATTTTTATTTTCTTGGGTTATCTCTGTCTAATATTGAAAATTCTTTGATAATCTGAAACATGTAAGTGTGACAAAGATCCAAAAACACTAAGAAATCAGGGAGGGGGGTGAATACTTTCCATGGTGCTATATGCACAGTGTTGTTGTATGCCAGTCGCTCTGTGGTCCTGTTGCATTAGCTTAAAGTATGGCTTTCTTCTTGTTTTGAAACATTTTGTCACAAGAGCTAATTGCGTTACACTCATCTTGAGTCTGCTAAGCTAATGACGACATCTTTAAGGAAAGCGACTCTCCAGAATCCTGGAAAATCCAGAAAACGAATTGCTTGATTGTGCACACTTCCACCTGGTGCTGAGCACGCTGGCTGTTAACTGTTCACAGGTACCTTCCTGAGTTAATGAATGACGGCTTAGCCAGTCAGATCAACAACCCTGAAGTGGAAATTGACATCACCAAACCAGACATGACAATACGCCAACAAATAATGCAGCTGAAGATTATGACTCACCGCCTGAAGAATGCTCTAAATGGCCAGGATGTGGAATTTCAGGACACCAGTGAGTAATCTTTATCATCTCAGCCCACAAGAAACCTCAAATCAGATGACCTACTCATGATTACATTATTGTAACTTCTCTCAAATTAAAGAATAAAAAATAAAGAAACAGACACACCTCACCTGCAACTCACCCTGTCTGTTCTGCCTTCTACTCCTACTATGCTTCCTGTGTAGATTTTTTAACTCTTTTATGCTACTCACTTGGTTTAGACTGAAAATACCCATGATTGCATAAAATATCCTGTTACAACTTACATTTCCTGTACATGAGCTGCAGGTGTCTTGTGTCTTGTTTTCCCTACAACAACTACACTATGCTGAAAGCTTTTTTAGGGCATCTTTGTCCATTGACGATTAATCAAAAACATGTTTTCCAACTAAACCTGTGAAAATCAGGAATGCCTTTTTTGATTATCTGATTTCATTTTTCATACCACGTAATTTAAGTAACTCATGACAATGTTGACTCATAGCCGTATTCTCTTTGCCCCTGAACAGTCAATGCCAAATTTTTACTGGCAGTTAAACAAACACTTTATGTGCACTGTATGGTTAATAGGGTTAGTGACAGCTTTATTCCTGTTGGAAGAGTGAGCTCATGTCCATACCCTGTGTCTATAGGTGATGACGCCAGCGGCTCAGGAAGCGGGTGCGCGGATGACATGTGTTCCCGGGATACACACCTTGTTCTCCCCATCACTGACCGACCTGTGGCCATTCCCTACCCTCCAGAAAACGAGAGGGTGAAAGGCTCAGCCATGCAGAACCTTCCCTCCATCAGCATTTACCTGCTTACACTGCTCATTTTGCTGCTCCGGCGATAATTGACGAGGTGGAATCTGCCAACTGGGACTGAGACTGGGGCACCGGGGGTTGGGGAGAGTTGAAAAGGGGAGGGAGGAGAAGTTGGGGGTTAGTTAGCTTGCCAAAACTAAAGAAATCTAAAGAAACAACAACAATAAATCACATGGATGGACTTCCTTTTGGTGTTGGATTGGAGCAAAATGGAAATATGAGTACTCATAAACGTTTTTGTTTTTTTTGTTCTGCTCTCATCTTTTATTCTTCCTATACTATGACACCTTTAGAGCTGGTCTTTTTTTTTCTTTTTTTTTTTGCATCTTCTAATGTTTTGTTTTTGGTGTTTGGTTTTCTCTGAGGTTATATCTGCTCCTAAAGCGTGTGCGAGACTGTATTGCTAACAGTATGTTGGTGTTGACACCATAGGGAGAGGGAGAGTCGAGCTTTTTGCAGTGGCACCCAGATACTACGTGTCGGTATTCCACTTGTGACCGTGGGAATTGTTTATTTATGATTATATTTGTCCCAAAATGATTTAATCACATTTAGATATTTATAGGAAAAGAAAAAAATATCTGCTGACTTTAAAAGGAGAATTATCTGGACAGCATGACCCATCAAACCTCTTAATGCATTAAGCCTCACAGTATCATTACTTGTATGCACTCGCTCACACAGTGAGGTTGAGAGCACTTAGCGTCAGCACTTTTGCCATTTCATCATGTAATCTGTAATAATAGCCGTGATCACAGTCACACTGGCACGATCGCCCGGTGTAGGAGTAACACGGTCTGTCCTCTACTCCATCCATCCACTTATTCCTACACTCCCCATCCCACCCTCCTCCCCCGGCCCCACCAAGATTGTCTCCCTCCCTCCCTCTCTCCAGAACCTGCTGGCAGTGTAGCATCAACTCAACATTCTGGTTTAAGCAAAGCACGTGCTCGGCTGGGACAGGTCTCAGATGGAAGCAGCTTTTCGCTATAGAGTGTGCTACGTGGAAAGGAGGTGTCGCGTTAAGATGACCCCTGTGACAAAGGATTGAATGAAATGATCTTGGAGTCTTGTAGCACAGCAGAAATGCACACAAAAGCAGAGGCTCCGCTGTCCTGCTGCACTTCTTTTAGTATTCCTTTTACATTCACAGGAGAGCAAAAATATAATATGCATAAAATTTGTGGGTTCCCCGCAATGGCCCAGTGTTCCTGTGATTAGCATCATAATTTCAGTATCATCGATTTTTTTTTTTCATGACTGATTGCCGCAGTGATCCATATAACAGTAAAAGCCACACCGTGCACGTCTATATTTTTGATTGCTTCTTTGCCATTTTGTAGAAGGGGGAAATAAAAAATTAAAAAAACATGCTTTTAGTTCCCAAAATTTGACAAAAGCAAGATCGTTGTGTGCTCTTACTGCTTATTTTTTCATCATCTGTCAGTATCCATGTCCGCCTTTCATTATCTGAAACATTTCTATATCGGTGCCTATTTTTTGCCAACCTCCTCTGCCCTTTTCCCCACTCATCAGTTATAATGACCTTTAAAGCGTTCCTCGTGCTTCTGCGTTGTAGCAAGGCAATATGACAATGACACAGTGCTTCATTATGTGTCAACCTTACTGGGAATGTTATGGGAACACATTTTAAGGCTTTCTCCCCCCGCCCGATTTGATGCTTGCTAGGGAGAAAACATGTACCACAATTTAGTTCAAAGCAATGCCAGCGTTCTCATTCAGGAGTGCTGCGTGCCAGGATGATGGGACGATGCCCGCGTATGTGTTTCGTTTGCGTGTGAATGCGTGTACTTGTCTTTGATTGAAAGCGCAGAAGAGGGATTGACGATAGCGCCTCTTTGAATCGACAGTAGTTCGGATGACACAGAAATGAGATGAACTAAAATGTACTGCACTAACACGGCTGTGACAGAGTGCTATTAAACTGACAGTAACAGGAGCTTAATACAACTCGTTTTTCAGAAATTGCATTTTCAAAACTTTCACTGTAATAAATGATCATATGTATTGATGGAATCTTATTTCATGGAACAGCGAGACAGGATGCAGAGGAGTCAAGTGGACATGATTTTTAAAGTACGTCATTACTTCACCTGTGCATTGGGACAATCCTCTATATAATTCATGTTGTGAAAAATCATTTACAGTACATGCACTCCCTGCTGATAATACTCCGAATGCTTTAGGATAGCGTGGGGTGCTGTCAGAGTTTTAGAAGTACATCTGATATATACTTGGTTAGTTTCTGCTCTGAAAAGGGGTTGTTGTTGTTGTTGCCCTATGTGTGACATGACAGGTTATTTTAATGGTAACTTCTTTTTTGATATGCTCTATTAATGAACGATTTGTTGCTGTGTGAATATGTGTGTGCGTGTGTGTCTGTCTGTCTGTCTGTCTTTCTGTTAGTCCCTGGTTAAGAAATCTGCCTGTGACTGCCTTTGATACTTTGAGATCAGTTTTAAGATTTAAACAGAGAGATGCTATGATGCAAGATGTTGGTGGTGAGGAGAAAAACAACAACTTCAAAAGTACGTTTAGCAAGCACGCCACTAGGTCCTCTTTTTAAGACTCTCTAGAAAAGATCTGAATATGAATGTGAAGGTGCGCATGCAGCCTGTAATAATAAAAGGAAGTACTTCAACTGTGATGGTGACATTCCAGTTCAAAGATGATTTACAACTTTAGGCTCACATCTCCAGTTTCAATGACAGCCTCACAATGTCATTAGCTGAAATTTGCACAACCCCTCCCCATGCCCACTCCTTCTTGACCTTTTGATCTCATTAATTTGTTGTTCAAAGCCCCACGCTCCCCTCCCCTTTTATAAAAACCTGCACTTTTATGAGGCCAATAAATGGCATTGTCTGCACAAAGACATCACAAGATGGTTGATCAATATGTGAGTCGACACCTTCCAGAAACAACTATCGATTGGGGGGTTGTGTGTACGTAGATATGGCCCGGCAAGATGTCTCCTGTCTGAGTATGGTGAAACAGTGTAAACATTAAGCCCCCGAGTGTGAGAGGAAGGAGAACAGATTGTCAAGGGCACTGATCTCAAATCAGTGTGTATGCCTCAATCCTGCCTTCGTTCATCACTGTAGGTGGCAATAATGCAAAGCTGATTATCCAGCCGTTAAAAAAAAAAAAGAGAAGAAAAACGAAACAGATTTACTCCACACTGAGCTGAGACTTGGAGGCACATCTGAAGGGTGCCAGTTTATGAGGACAAAAATACTTTTATTTTTCCTGTTTTACTTTCGTTTCATTGTTATCGACAGAGAGTTTGTTCTTGTGGTGAACACGGAAGCCAGAAAGAGGTTGAAAAATATCTAAAATGTCTCATTTGCTGTTGTACCTGAAATCTTGTGTCAATTATATACATTGTAAGATTTTCAACAGTCTTGTGTCCTGTTTTTCTTTAATGGTTGGTGTGTTCCATCACAGTCATCGCTCAGCTTGAGCTAGGAAAAAAAGTGCTGGGTCTCCCAGTTGATCGAACCATCTACCTAAGTTGTCTTGTCAGAGTGCAGCGGGGCACGCTGACACCTGAAAAGAGCCAATGGGCTCTGGTGATGATGTCAGAGGTGACAGCTGCTGTCTAGTGTTGCCACACAGGAAGAACTGTTCAGAGCACACTGAGTGCTTTGTCCTGTTTCTGTGTGTAGACGATAAACAACCAGCTCCCTCAGGATGATTTTAACACATACTTGAGGGTTATCCTATGAGAGTCTGTAAAGCTACCTTTTTACATACACCAAAGTGCTTATAATAATATACGTACAGAAGGTAACAGCTTAGTGCAGTTGTGCGGTGTCTCCATGTCTTAAGCTCATTAAGTTACAAATTATATATGTGTGAAACTGGAGAAACAGAAGAACTTGCCATCGGGTAGGAGCTGCCAATATTTAAGTATTTCTAAAGCGCTATCCAGTGTACACTCCCAAGTATGTTGGGAATCATTTCACAAAATTATTAGTACCCTTTGCAGTTTCTTTTCAGTAGACAGAAACATTTATATTGTGATTCAAACACAATCAGTATCTGTCAATCATTCACTCTACTTACAGCGCACAAAAATGCCCAACTATACTTGCACTGTTCTCACTCTTCTGGCTTTCCGTTTGCCCTTCCCTGTACTTTTATGATTGTTAAATATCAGCTTAATGGGACAAGTCTACTCAACTCAATAACGTACCTTTGCCTTCATGAAGCCACAGATGTATGGGCTCGTGTGAGAAAGCTCAAGTGTTTATATGTCCTCAAAAACCAAGTAACCCTAAACTGCT